ATACAGGGTGGGGCAAAGGTAGGTTTACAGTTCATTTAGAAAATAATACAATAATAAATAATAATACAAGAATAAACACTATCTTTCAGGTACTCACAACTGTAAACCTACTTTTGTCCCACCCTGTATAAAGGGAGAGATGGGAGTTACATTGCCACCTGCAAAGGAACGCCAAGAATTGCCAGCAGCCACTAGAGGCTAGTAGAAAGGCATGGAACAAATTCTCCCTCAGCCTCCAGAAGGAACCAATCCTGCCCATATCTTGATTTTGGACTTCCAATCTTCAGAACTGTATGAGATTAAATTTCTATCATTTTAAGCCACCCTGTTTGTGGTAATTTGTTATAGCACCCTAGGAAACAAATCTACCATGGTTTAGTTAAATAACACTAATTCTTCAACAACACAGTTCAAATTTCAATGACCACAATACATTAACTGTGAGTACCTGCATATAGTACATACTCTGCTGTTAGCTCCTCAGTCCACATCACTATAAATAACAAACAGGCACCATGGTCAGTGACCAACCATGTAACTTTCTTCCAAAGTCTGTGGGTGACTGGTCACTGCATCTGTAATAACAGTTTACAGGCAGCAAAATGTGTAGTTGTGTTGCCTCGTCCCCCAGTGATAAGCCCACAAGACATTTTACAAAAATATATTTGAAAGAAGAAAGTGGCCAACAAATATGAAGTGCAGCAAAGAATGCTGAAGTGAAATTTGGATCCTCAGGCTCTCTGCTCTCATACTTGTGCCATATCCAACACATCAGCGATTCTAAACATATCCAGAATCCAACCACCTCTCATCACCTCCACACCTACTGCCCTGTCATATCTTGCCTGGATTATTATAATAGCCTAACTAGTCTTCCTATTTCCACCTGTGCCTCCTTTTTCAATATATTCTCAATGGATCCACCAGATTGATCCTTTCAGAATATCAATCAGTTCATATCACTCTTCTGAATATCAATCAGTTCATATCACTCCTATCTCATTCAGAATGAAAAGCCTAGTCCACCCAATGACCTACAAAGCCCTATACAATCTGCCCCTCCTCCTGCCCCAGTACCCCTGACCCCTGCCTTGTTTCCAGCATTCTCTCCAATTTGCTCCTCTCACCCAGCCATTCCTTGCTGTTCTTCAAACAAGGTGCACATGCTTCAGCCTCAGAATCTTTGCAAGTGACTATCTCCTCCATCTAGAATAATGTTCTCACTCACATCATGGCTTGTTGCCTCATCTTCTCTAAGTCTTTGCTCAAATGTCACCACACTGAGACACTCTTGGGTCTCCCACACTAAAAATGCAACCCCCTCATTTCCTGTCCCCCATTTCTAGGCATATTTCCCTCCTGAGCCCTTGCTCACCATTTAACATATTTTTTCCTTATGTCTTTTTTTGCTTATTATTCTTATTTTCCTTCACTAAAATATCAGCTGTGTGATTTGTTTCATGCTGTATCGCAAGCAACTAGAAAAGGCCTATCATATAGATCTTTAATTGGTATCTGTTGAAAGAATGAACAGATAACAAGTCAACCTCAGCACCAGAAACAGGATTTCTAGGAGCTAGTGCTCAGCTTAGAAACAAACAAGTCCACTGCACCATGGCTCCGCTCATCTCTGCATTTTCAAAGTCCAACATGATGCCTAAGAAAAGAGCTGAGTGGCCTCAGCCCCCAAGACCACATTCCCAGTGGGAAGGGGAGGCTCTGCAGTTGACGGCAAAGACCAAAACAAGAGCTCAAAGCACTTACCCCATTCCCTGTTTGAAAGCTTCAATCAACTCGTTCTTTTTATTCTGATCTTCTACCCAATACACACTTGGAATTACAAACTCTGATATCACACGGCATTCTGGACAAGACCTGAAATAAGAATCAGGTTAGTATGGAACAGATTAAGTTACAAATCCTGTGCACAATATACCACTAAACCCCTTGCTCAAATGCATGACCATTCCAGATGTTTCCCAACCAATATATTTACTATTAAAAACATGTTTTACACAACAATAAAAAGACCACTCAATTTTAAAGTGGCAAAGGATTTGAGTAGGCATTTCTCCAAAATGGCCACAAAGCATAGAAAAAGAGGCACAATAATCACTGGTTATCAGAAATGTAAATCTAAGCTACAATACAATATCATTTCACACCTACTAGAATGGCTAAAATCAAAAATAAAAACAATAACAAGTGTTAATGTGCATGTGGGAAAACTGGAATCTTCATGCACTGCTGGTGGGAATGTAAAATGATTCAGACACTTTGGAAAACAGTCCGGCAGTTTCTGAAAATATTAGATGTAGAGCTACCATATGATCCAACAACTCTACTCCTAGGTATCTACCCAAGAGAAATGAAAACATGACAAAAAAACTTGTACATGAATATTTACAGCAGTACCACTCACAATAACCAGAAGGTGGAAGCAGCCCAATGCCCATCACCTGATGAATAAACAAAATGTGGACATCCATACAATGCGGTATTTGGCCATAAAAAACAATGCAGCACTGGTACATGCCATAACACGGCTGAACTCCAAAACCACCATGCTAAGTATAAAATTTAGCCAGACATAAAAAGGCGAAATACTGGAAGATTCCACTTATTTGAAATGTCTAAGACAAATCCATAGGATAGAAGGTAAACTAGTGGTTGCCGGGGGCTGGAAGTAGGGAGAGATGAGCAATGACTGCAAATAGAGGTTTCTTTTTGAGATAATAAAAATACTCTAAAATCAGATTGTAGTAATGGTTGTACAAACTGTGGATACACTAAAAACCACTAAGTTGTACACTTTTATCTCAATAAAGCTGTTATTTTACCTCACAAATGTGCAACTTTAGGCAAGTTATTTGATCTCATCATACCTCAGCTTCCTTCTCTGTAAAATGCGGATCGTAGGGTCTCTGAGAGAAGTGTAAGTTAATGTGTGTGAAGGGTTTCTAAAACAGTTCACAGCATGCAGTGACTTCTCAATATGAGTTAGCTCTTCCCCCTACCCTGTCCTACTGTAGAATGTAAGAATCCTGTGTTGTTATATGTCAATTATATCTCAGTACAGCCTGAGGGGGGGAGAACTGTGTTGGCTCCATGGAGCACATCCCGTTTGCCAGACATGTGAAATGTTTTATGTGCATTAGTCCATTTAATCATCAAATTACCCTATTTTACAGATAGAAAATAAAGCTTAAAAAGGGGAATAAGCAATCAGCCTAAGGGCAGCCACCTGTAACTGTTAGTACTGGAGTCAAACAGGCCATTGCCATTAACCTCACACAAATGATCCCTGCTGAGTGTCCCTCCAATACCCTGAAGCTTGGCAGGAATTGTTACCATATGTCAAAGGAAAAGGTACTTGGGCTCAGGAAGGGTAGTGATGTGCCCAAGTTCACACACCAAGGGGCCAGCACTCACAACTTAACTTATCCTCTGCACTGAAACACCCCTGGAAGACAAGGGAGGGATTAAGAGCAGATGAAAGGTTCCAAATCAACCCCCCCCCGCTTCTACAGCTAAGACTCCTTGCTGTACTTACTTAATGATTGGATTCTCAAATTGCTTAGCACACCTCCACTGTCGGATGCAGGACAAGCAGTATGTGTGATTGCAGTTGGAGAGAATCCCAAATCTCCTCTCAGAAGCAGACGCCTTCTCGAGGATCACTTCCATGCAGATACTGCACACTTTGTCCTGACTTGCTTGGAAGGCGAAGGCCTTTTCCATCTCGTGTTCAAATGTTGACATGCAGATCTGAAGTACCGAGAGGGAGGAGGAAAACCTTAGGTTCTGGGCTGCTGGGTAGCGCCAAGAGCTGCCAGCCACACTGCCACAACCAAGATCAGGAAGGAACACAGACCGTGACTGCTTTAGGCAGGGCCAGCAATCCCTGGATTCAGGACACAAAGCTTTCTCAGACCACAAAAGGACTTTATTAAAAGCCATTACAGGCCCAGCCCCTTGTGTTCCTAGCATGATATGGTCTCCTCCAATTTAGAGCTGAGACAGAGGAGGTCCCAAAAGGTTAGAAGACCACTGTGGGACCACAGAGTTCACAAGAACTGGGACCCTGATCTCCTGGCTTCTCTAGGTACCAGCTTTCCTCACTCTGAACCACACTGATACCAGAAATGCCGAATAATCCTTAACTTGAAACATCAGGCTGGCAGTCCAGAGTCAGAGGTAAGCAGCACCACTTCTCAAGAGAACAAATTATTTAATGAATTCACTTACTCAGTAAGCAGGTGATGTACAGTACTGTGTACCAGGGATTAGAGTCAATGAAAAGAATACAAAGACCTCGGCTCTGCCCTTGGGAGCTCACAGTGGACACAGATGTGAGATAAGTCAGCATGCAGAGCACAAAGACCTCAGCACACCTGAGTGAAGAAGGAAGCTCTAATTCTGTGCTCACCTGAATACTCCCCTAGGAAAACAATGGAGGGTGGCAGACTCCACCTCCACATACCAGGAGCTGCTCCTCATGGGTTCTACACTGCAGCCTTGGGCTCCTCCCCTGCTCTCTTACCCATCTTCAGAGCCCTGAACCAAGCATAGGGCCCACTCTGAGGCAGTGCCTCCTAAACACTGGGACCTAATGACCGGAAAGGCCCTTTCCAACACTTGGCTCCTCAGATTCTATGATTTGGGGTCCTCAAATTCTCCAGAACTCAGCCTGGCTAGATTGCAGCCACAATGATATGGAAACCTAGAAAGAAGGGTGTGTATGTTATGTGTGTGACAGACACACATACACACTAGGCTCCCGAGCTAGATTTATTCTCTGAACTTTGCATAGCTTTATGTTTCTGATGTCTCTCCTTTTTCTTTTATTCTAAATAATCAAGAATTGTCAGCCCAGCTGGGCGTGGCTCAGTGGTTGAGCATCGACCTAGGATCCAGGTCAGGGCACATGCCCGGGCTGCAGGCTCCATTCCCACTGGGAGGGTGTGCAGGAGGCTCTCCATCAAGATTCTCTCATCATTGATGTTTCTCTCTCTCTCTCTCCTTTCTTCTCTCTCTGAAATCAATAAAGATATTATTTAAAAACACACACAAAAACATTGCACACAAAAAAAGAACTGTCAAATGACAACAGGAAAAAAGGGTATAAATATTCCAGGTACATAATATAGGTATTATTGGCAGACACATACTTGCAGAAATACCAACAATTTTGTCACTTAGTGCATTTCAAATTTCTTAAAACAAGTTCATACAAAGGCTTGTACCTTCTCGTGAGCTTTCCTTTGTTCTGGGTCGAAGGGGTGCAGGACTTGTAACCTACAGATTTCACACATCTCCCCATGCAGGTAGACACAAGCATCCCCAAATCGGCACTCCCCGGCGGCTGCATAGGGGCACAGCTGCTGCTCGCTGCTGTAGGAGCTGCTGGCTTCTAAGTAATCAAGACCACTCCTTATTGCATCTAGGTAGGAATTCGGCTTCATCTCTGGGCTACTCTGGGCGTCATTGCCTCCAGGATTACTCACCACACTTGGGCAAGCCTTTTCTTCAGCCATGCCAGAGAGATCTTAATACAAAACACACAGCACACACATAAATGAAAACTGGCCCAACCACTCTAGTAAACTGCTAGTCAAAACCTAACAGATTAAGCAACTCTGACCTCAGGAATTTTACTCTTGGGAACATATAGGAAGAAACGGGCCAAGAGGGAAAAATAAAAGGAACGGCAAAAATGTTCATAGTGACATTAACTTAAAAATATAATTAGCAACATAGGGAAATAGCAACAACAGACCATGATATACTTATACAAAAGAACACTAAAGCTGCTATTTAAAAATAGCAAGTATGAAAATGTCAACATTTGGACCTGTTAATACTAAAATATGTATATCAGTATGTGTGTGTGTGTGTATATATATATCCATCCATATATATATATATTCATACATATATACAGTCAAAAGGAATTTAGAATGTGGTCAATAGAATACAGTGGTTTCCTTTATACCAGTAAAGTTACCTATCATTTTAAAGTGAACTAGAGCCCGGCCGGGTATGGCTCAGTGGCTGAGCATCGACCCAGGATCCAGGCAATCGGGGGTCAATTCCCAGTCGGGGCACCTGCCTGGGTTGCAGGCTCAATCCCCAGTCGGGGGTGTGCAGCAGGCAGCCGATCAATGACTCATCATTGATGTTTCTATCTCTCTCTCCCCCTCTCCTTTCCTCTCTCTGAAATCAATAAAGATATATTTTTAAAAATTAAAAAAAAAAAAGTGAACTAGAATTAATGAAAATCTGGAGTGAGTCTTGGGGTCCTGAGGTCAGTGTTAAATTGTCCTATGGCCTCCCCTTCTCACACCTAGAGCCCTTCCCTTCCGATCACACACACTTCTGCCTTTTAGAGGGGCCTTATTTAACTGGATCAATTACTCGTTGCTTAGGGTGGTATCTGCCTATCTTATTTCCCACAATTCCGAGAACTAGAAATCCGTTCACCTTCTAAGGACCAGCCAACAAAAACAACTTTTATGATTTGTAGCCTTCTTCCTCCCCAAATCCTTTTCCAGGGTACAGACCACTCCCCAAACCCCAACATGCTATTCTTATTACCAAAGGTACAACCTAAAATGGAAAACACTGGCTCAGCGTAAGAACTTAGACTATGAACTGACCTAGAAGTAAAACAGTGATATATGCTCTTTATCAAAATATGTAGCTTTGAAATGAACAGTCTGGTGCTTCTCAGAACTGAGCAACCACCCTATGCAGATGGCAGTTACACACTGAAAAAGAGCCACTAAAAAACTTGGGGCTCAGTCCAGACTTGGGCACAAGACCAAATGCACCATCCAAATACTCTGCAGGAAAATGAAGCCCATTTTCAGGACAGATCTGGTGTCTCTACATTCAGATAGGTTGGTGGGGTATTAGGTTATCAACCCTCTTGTCAAGAGAAGACCAGAAAGGAACATGAAAAACGAGACAAGACTGCTTTTCAAAAAGAGGAAACAAAAGGATTCTGCTCACTCACTTCGGTCTCTAAGTACCAATGTTCTTTTCTCACGTTTCCCAGGCTCGTGTAAGTTAGTTTTCACAATGGGTGCAGTGAGGTCGGAAGGAGGGTGAGGACTGTGGAAGCCCGGGGAAGGCACGCTGTGGGGCACGGAGCCCACAGCACCACCAGCTGCAGCAGAGGGCCTTGTGTGATCATATCTAAACAAAACACACAACAGATGTATTATGGACACACTACAAGCACATGTCTCCCACATTACCCAGACATGGAAAGTCCTTCCTTGAGCTCCATTTGCGGAGGTAGAGAGTGAAACAATCTTTCCCCATATTTTAATTGATAAAAGGCTCATCAATAAGTAAGAACTGCCTGGCAATTCAGACTGAGTGGTACACTGCTGTCTACCTCCTATACTTAAGTGTCCTTGTAGGACTTGAGTGGCACAGACATACTGCCCCAGACCACACAAAGAAACCCTGAAAATTCCAGACAGATGTTGAAATGAAATCTGACATCCAATCCAGTGTTCTTTTAGGCAGGGGCCCCCACAATGTTAATAATGGCCAATGTAACAGCTGGAGACCAGCCTTTCCTGGGCTCTCTCTCTGGGGCACTCACTGGCAGGAGTAGGGCAAGGTGGGCCAACTTCCATTATCCCCTAGGCAGCCAGAGGAAGGACTGAAGGGAGCTTTGCAGTCCAGGAAAGAGCATAGCAGCTATTCATTATAAAAGGACAGAAGCAGGTTTTTGGAATATTTCCTTGTTTAGAAGTTACAAAATTGCCTACAGATGTCAGTGATAAAAAGGAAGACTCTACACACATGAATGTTCACTGTAGGGGTACTCACAGCAAAAAACTGGAAGCCACTTAAATTTTTAATGGAGGCATAGTTAATAAAATTATGGTTACTCACTTCGGTCTTGAAGTACCAGTGTTCTTTTCTCACGTTTCCAGGCTCATTTTAGTTGTAATGTTAACAATATGTAACATTATATAAAGAGCAGCATAGGAAAAAACTTATGACGTGTTAAATGTGGGGAAAAAGCAAGATATAAAATCTTATATATACTATGAGTACAAATTTATAACTAGAGACTCATAAGAATAAGGCCTGAAAAGTGATTCTGAAAAATTAGTTTTTGGGTACCAAAACTGAGGTTTCAAAATCATTTGCTATACTTCTTGTATTGTCAGATTACTTTTAAATTTAAATTTTCCCCTCAACACCCATGCTCCAAATGAAGGATCCGAATCCCCTATAGTATTCAACTCAGTGTAACAGTTCGGAGCAGTGGCAGAGTTCTTGCCTGCAACGAGTTCCATAGGCGCAGTAGCCCTTCTGATAATACTTGCAGATGGTGGATGGCTTGCTGTTTGCCAAGTCATGTGAGAACAGGCATTGGTTTCCTTCCCGACACACGCCATGCATAAAATACCTGAAGAGACAAGCAGAGGCATCAAACTTTTAGAAGCACACTTTGCTGTATAAAATCGCTGTACTTTGTAATCTAGTATACAAATATTATGCATAAATTATG